TGCTGACCAGGGCCGTAATTTGGTCTGGGAAAGGGGTGGGAGATGTGTGGACCAGGCATGGGCTAGCTGCTTCTCTGCTGGAGAAACAGGCTCTTGGTTGGGGATGGTTTCTTCAGTCTCTCCCAGGTTGGTGGTTAGTGGTTTCTAAATCTTTGGTCTATGCTGGCGAGATCTGTGTAAGCTGTAGAGCAGGTTGTGCCTGCATGTGCAGAAGGGGAGTGCCTTTTGTTGGGAGAAATCAGAGGCAGCTCGTGGGAGAGGGAGGACAGGAGGGCGAAGTTTTCTGTTTTCCCTCTGTGTGTCTCGTACCGGAGTCCGGAATTACTGTGCCGAGGGCGTTGCAGATGCACAGCCAAAAAAAAATGGTGGAGAGCGGTAAAAGGGGATGTTCCTGCACGTAGCGAGGTATCTGGCAGCGGGCTGCCTTTGTGTGGTTTCAAACAAGATCCCCACCACAATCGAAAGGTTTGGTGAGTCTGTGTTAAAACAAGCAGGGTTATTGGGACGGAAAGCACTTCCCTGTGCAGCCGTGGAGAGATCTACTGAAGATCTCAGTGCTGTTCTGGAGGGACCTGCCTCCGTGTGAACGGTTCTTCTGATTTGTAATTACAATACTCTGATGTGCAGACTTTAATAGGGTATTTTCCCCTGTTACATGGTGTTACCAGCTGCAGGATGGAGAAATCCCACATAAGAACTAGCTAAGACATGGAAATGTTTTCTTTCCCTTTGGAAAAGAGAATTACGCCATTCTTAGAGCAGCTTAGCTAATTCTGCGTGCTTTTAGGAATAAAAGGGTCAGTTAAGGAGTAACCTGCATGCACATTTTAGGATCAGAGTTATTTAATGTATTAATTGGCTGTAAAAAGTAGTAGAATAGCAGTGAAGTGCCTAAGTGTGCAGATACCACAGACTTGCTTAGGTTAGGCTGCAGAAAAGAAGAACATTTAAGGGTCTTGATCTAGATTACAGACAACATTATGCCAGACCAGTGCAGTACTGAAAGACAGTAAACATTGGAAAAGGAAAACTGAACTATTTCTACATAATTCTATGTCCTAAATTAACTGCAGCTCCTCTGGAGAAAGGACCGTGTGTCTCAGAGGATCTCCCAGATAAAACATCTGCTGAAATGCCTCGTGTCACTCCAAAAGCAAACAAAATATTAGGCTCAGGGAAGACTGGAATGCGAAAGCATTCTGCAAATAGTGTAAAATAACTCTGGGGAATATCTTTGTGTTTAACTGTTTCTGGGTCTGTTCAGCCTGTCTCCAAGCAGTCATGTCAGGAAGAGGAGTTGTGGAGCCAGGTGCTGGAAGTGGATTGAAACGTCCATGGGATGGACTGCTGAGAAGCCAGAAGCCAGAAGTTGCTGCAAACAAGGGAGAACGGGGCAGAGATACAAAAATAGCTTGTGCTAAAAGAAAGGTGATTCAAGCGCTTCTGTCTTCACCTCTAGGCCAATCCATGTGAACATGAAGTGAGAGGTGACAAATTTAAACCTGATGAAGGAAAATCAGGCTTTAAACAACCGAGTTAAGATGGTATTGAAAGCAGAAGGTTGCCTGTGGAACTTCGTGCTGCAACGTGTGATTGAAGTCAAGATCTCACCTTGTCTTAAAAAATTGACATGTTTATGTTAAAAAAGAGCGGAGTTCCATGTGTTAGATAAAGGTCTATGTGCAGAAGGATCTATGCATCCGTAACTGAGCATACAGAACAATTTCCACCTGACAGAGGTTCAGAAGGCATTTTATCAGTGGACGAGTTGTTTCGTTACAGAACTTTTAGCATCCTTGGCCATTAGCAGAGAGGGCCAGCAGGCAGGCAGACCGCTGCTCCTCCTGGGGTGACTCCAGCTCTCTTTCGCACGGCAAATGGGAGGTGTCTGTTAGCTGAAAATCTGGAAGCCTGTGTGGTGTCCGATACCTGTCGTTCTTTTGATGTCTTAATGACTGTGTAATTAAGTTAACAAGATCTTTTTGTCTTAGGGCCACTCCCTCTCCATGGAAAAAAATCAGTCACAACGCAAAGGCAGGGCTGGGAGAAAGCCACAGCAAACACTGGCTGTAGCATACATAGGGCACCGTATCACTTCGGTCTGGCCCCCCTCTCGCAGGGATTCTCATCGCTGTTCCAAAATTAGCATCTATTTGGTGCTGAACAGGCAAACATTGCACTAATGTTTAGGCTTGATTGAGTAACGCAAATACCAGCTTTCAAAAAATTAAAATGAAATAAAACTATCTCACCACCTCCTGTCCCTATACGGATAGGTCTGGTTTAATAAAATGAATGGCATTCTGTTTAGTTGCCTTTTATGTGTCTAAGTGGTACAGACGCTGGTTTTGTGTTTTCTTCCCAGCGGTGGAGGTGCAAAACTTCTTTTGTGTGTAAAAAAGAAATTCTCTCCTAATTGTTGCGCTCCAGAAGCTGGAGCTTTAAGGAAAACCTGCTGGACAGCTGAAGACTCGTGACATTTTGGAACCTCAAATTCTAGGTCATCCCTTTTTGCAGAGGTCTGGAGGTGTTGGCAGCATAAGTGTGGGGAGAGAGGGGAGGAGGTGTGTGCTGCATATGACAGCAGCGCAAGTGATTTTTATGAACAGGGAGGTTTCTACACAAAATCACGTTGGGAATATCCCAGCGATAGTCCACCCCTGCGCTTAAGTTAGTGGGAGGGATTTGAAGTTCAGGCGATGCGTGGCTGAGCTCTCATTAGTGACCAGGGACATTTCGTTCAGAATGTGGAAGGCAGACAGGGAGAGGCAGATGGCTTTGAATGCAGGATTTACATAGTAATGAGATTCAGGTCACCATAGCTGTCTTTTTCTCTCTGCATTTTGTCTAGGTGTTGAGTAGCGTGCAGGGATGACGGAATGGGGAAGAAAGGAGGAAAATTAACCCCTTGTTCTTAAGGAGAGATTGGTGTTAGAATACAAAGTTTGTCACGATAGGCTAAAGAACGGTGGGGTATGGGAACAACAAGCACAGATGAAGCGAAAAGGACTAAGGGTAGCCAGTTTTTAAGTTTCTGGCATGTTTTTTGTGGGAATGGCACAAAGCATCCTAGCCTTAAAATCCCAGAATTTCCCGTATTTTTTATGTTCTGCATTGCTGGCTTGACAACAGATAGTTTGGGGCTTTTATCATTACTAGTCAACCCAAAATTGGGGAAGCTTGTGGACTGAAGATGGGACATGGATTCTTGCTACAGGGCCTTTGCTTATTTCCCCGGAAAAAAATTACCCATTTTGCTTGGTTTCTTGGCTAAAGACTTGTCTTCACATGACTATGTAATGGCGTGATTAAAGCATAATATTTTCCACTGCAATTGGTAATCCTTAGTATGATCTCACTAGTGTCAGATCTTATCCTGATGACAGATGGGAAACTGGGAACCATGGGCCCTATTTCCATCTCTGGATGGTAGCACTTGATTTGCTTAATAGTCAACCCCAGGCATTCCCAAAATATGCATTATGGCCCAAGAAATCCCAAGGCTGTTTTTAAAGTGATGAAAGTTTTAAAGCAATGCATGTTTGTTTCTTTTATCTGTCTTCTGCGCTTTTTTTTGCATTTTTTTTAAATTTTTAATAGAATAGTTAGAGGAGTATGGGAAAGTAAGTTTTTCTTTTTGTTGTACATCACCTAATGCTAGAAGTTGGTGCTTTAGAAGAAGGTGTTGCAAGATCTGCAAGAAGAGCAAGGGAGAAGCCTTGGGTGATCCCTGTGTAAAATAGGAACTATGGCACTTAACTGCATGTGGAAGGGCTGAGGTAGGGAAGGTAAGGAAGGTGTTTGTGTGTGGAGATGGGTTTTGTATAAGGTTTTCAGTATTTGTAAGATACTTTTGGTTCTTCCACATAGAAGTTGCTTTTGAAACACAAAGCATTTGGGGCACTATGGGGAGGATTCATCTTGTCTCACCTTGGCCGCTGGAGTTGAGGGAGCTCGTCTAGCCTCAGTGAAGAAAGTTCAAAACATCCCAAGAGAGCGGGACAAATCCCACTTCAGGGGTTGGGGAGATGTCCCTTCATTGACTGCATGGTCTGCGCAGTACCTGGCTAAGATGTGGCACCAGCTTCTACCTGGCTGAAAGGTGATATGACCCTCACCTAAAGGTCCTGTGGAAGTCTGAGCTGGTCTTGCTTACTTGGGTCTCTCCTCCGTGTCCCAGCTGGGCATCCTCCTGGAGAGCTGAAGCAAAGCTTTTTTTACCTTGTCCTCTCCTTCCTCATCTGGGCTAACACTGAAACTCCCTGAGCAGAGGTGCCTCAGTGGCCTTCTCCTGAAGCCAGTGGTAAATGCATAGCGGGAGGGCCGCCGCATTTTCGCTTTTTGGGCTGGAAGGGAAGAGGAAATCTAATCAGGTGCCTGGCACAGACTGGGAAGTGAAGGCTTCTTGGCTACTTCCTCCTGAGGAAAAGGCTTAGGTCTAATAGAGCTAATTATGTTATTTCTCTGTTTTAAGGTTACATCCATTTGTTAAAAAAGTCAGTAATCCTTTTATACCAGTTCTGTAATGATTATTTAATGTCTGGCTGTTTGTGAAGCCCGCCGAGCTGCGTGAAGGGAGGATGCTTCACTACGGGGAATCTACACAGTTCCTCCACAGACTGGCAAGCTGGGCCCAAGAGCCTCAAGTGGGGGCCTTAATTGGGTGGCCTTGAACACACAACATTCATTTTGTGCTTCATTTTCCCACCCGCCGAATGAAAATAATGATAGTTCTCTCCTTTGCAAACTGCGGCGAAACATAGGACTGCCTCGTGGTGAAATGCAGGCAGAGGACTCTTCTGCAAAAATAGATATTCACTAGCTAGTGCTTGGTTAGCAGACACTTTGCCGGTGGCCAGTGGGACCCTCAGCTCCATAGGAGCAGTGACACTTGCTGGCAGCAGGCAGCTCTATGAGCATCATGTTCTGCACCAGCCTCCCTACGCCAGCCGAGCAGATCTGCTCCCATTGCTGATGTTTTCTGACCTCTTCCTTTGCAGAGCCCCTGAAATCATCCTCGGTTTACCGTTTTGTGAAGCAATCGATATGTGGTCGTTGGGATGTGTCATTGCAGAGCTGTTCTTGGGCTGGCCGTTGTACCCCGGAGCTTCGGAATATGATCAGGTGGGTACGGACATTGCCCTGGGTGGTAAAATGGTAAGAGCATGGATGTTCATGGGTTGGAGGTTTTTTTCTTTTGTCGGAGTGAACAGATGACAACTTTTACTGTTTTGCTAATAGGGGATATGTGATTTTTACCCCCCACCACAAAGTCAACTTTTTCATTATTCACCCAGGGTATTTATTCTAGGTAACCTGTGTGCTGTTTGGTACACTGGCTTTTAAGACCCAACTAAGTGAAATCTCAATCAAGAGTCAACACTGCCGTTGACTGGAGAACTCTGTACTTGTCTCTCCTCACTGGGCAGAGCAGGCACCCTTTCTCTGCTGTAACAGCAAGTGTTGAATAAAGGTTTATTTGTCAGAAGAAACTGCACGAACTCTGCTGTGTTTCATAACCCCTTTTATGAGGGTGCATATTAAAAGCAATGACAAGAAGGACAGCGTTCACAGTGGTGTAGGTTTCTAGTTAATATAAGCTGTCGTACTTCTCTCCCTATAGGCTTTTACGCTCCTTTTATAGTCCTAAAAGTGATAGCGCAGCGGCTGCTAGAGCCAGGGCTTCCCATTCCCATAGTCTTCTGCAGGGTGATTGTAGCTGTCTGCAAATGCGACCTGAAAAGGGTCTTTTTTCCTTTAGAAAAAAAAAAAAAAGAGCAGGGTAATAAATAAGTTCTTCAAATATGAAAATGTTTCCTTGACTTCTCTTTTGTAACTAGTATTTTTCTAGTCAGAGCTTTAAAGGTGCGATTTGGCAAGGCAAATAACCCGCAGTGAAGAGCAGAGCCTTTAGTGACTCCAAAGGGAATCGGGAGTAGCCGAAAAACTTACAAGCGTTTGAAAATCACATACCGAACATGAAGAGTAGATTTCTTTCTCCTGCCTGCCACACCCCAAAAGCCATAAAACACACAGCTGAAAAAGAAATCGCCATACCTACCCGCCCAGCTTAACTGCCCAGCACAAAGCTTCCTCCAGTGAAGTACGGTGATGGCTCCTGAGGAGCTGGGAAAGGGGTAGGGGCTAATCCTGACCCCTCGCTGCAGCCGAGTTGCCCTGCAGCACTGGTGCTGGGCTGTGGGCAGGATCCTGGTGCTTCTCAGGTGCACAAGCTCCGATGGACCTAAGGAGCTGTAGAGCCAAGCAAGCCATGCTCAGTGAACTGGGTCCTGGGTGCTTGGAAGTCTTTGAAACCAAGGCTGCTTTTTATGCTTTTATTTAATGTTTTTTACCCCTCTCTGTATCTTCTCTCAAAAACGTTTTCCATTCTTCCCTAGAATTTTCTAGAGTAGATGACTAGTTTTAGAAGTTTTGCAGTTTGCAGCAATTTTGTGGAGTGAAACATTCAGGAGTCGGGAGATGCCAAAGTTAAGGTTTCATGTGGCACCCCAGGCATGTGTGGGATCAGTCTTTTACTGTGTAATCACAGACCCTTTCTCCTTTGAGTAAATAAATTAAAGTCTGAGATCTTGGAAACACATGTGTATCATCTTCTAGCTGTGTGAGTGACAGCGAGGTCATACGCATGGAACTAACCCAAATAACAAATGAAGTCATGTATGCAATAGAGATGAAGTACTTTACATACCATGAGGGTGTCAGTTCGTTTGAGTGTATATTTCATCTAAGTTCAAAGATAGTCACTTCATAGTCCTCCGTTTTGAACTTCAAACTGCTCCTAGTTATGGCTGTGCACTCAGCTGGGGGAAAAACAGCAAAAGTTAGAGCGCAGATATCAAATTGTTGAAATTGCCTCCTGGAGAGGAGAGCATGACATAAAATGGTGCAAAGCGGTGAAATACCCCATTGAAATCTCCGTGTGGGTCTTCCTCTTTGACCTCTAAAACCTAGGGACTTTCCTCCCTTTATCCATGGGCTTTGTGGGAGCGTACTGTAAGGGTGAGTTTCCAGTGATCTATGTGATAAATGGAGGGATGCCATACGGGAATTCTCTTTCCTCTCGTTCCTTGCACTGGCTTTTTTTTTTTTTTCCATGAAGTCTAACTACGTGCTATGTTTTCTCTTTCTTTGTTCTATTGTTTTAAATGCCTCCTGCCTTCCTTCACAGAAGACCTCCAGAGATCTTCACAGGATGAACAGTGACCTCTCATCCTTCTCTTACAGATTCGCTATATTTCACAGACGCAGGGCTTACCAGCAGAGTATTTGTTAAGTGCAGGGACAAAGACTACAAGGTTTTTCAACAGGGATACAGACTCACCATATCCTTTGTGGAGGCTGAAGGTAGGAAGACGTTCCCTTGTTTCTTTTACCTTGCAGTTGTTGGTTGGAAGCAAGGAGACATTCAGGTCACCACAGAGCCTAGGTCTCTGCTTTTTGCAATGCAGCACAGACATGGGGGTGGGTATAATCTGAGGTGAAACTGCCATCCCCAAAATCTGCAGCCCTGAGGCCACCTGCTTGGCACTGCTTTGTGGGAAATTTAAGTCTGGAATTGACCTGGAAATCTCCCTCTAAGTAGTCAATGAATTGATGTGTCATTTAAATGAAACAAGCCCTGGGCAGAGTTTGCTCTAATATCTAACACATTGGGGAAAAAAACCAAACAAACAAACCAAACCAAACAACAGAAAGCATCTTAATTCTGACAATCAAAACTGATAGTAATTCAAGCGAGCCCTGGGTTTCTCATACCAGCGTGTTTGGCTGTATTTGGTTCCCAAGGAGAGAGGCCAGTGGGCATCTGGCTATAAGGATGGGATGCTGAGCCTCACACTGGGGTGGGCGTAAGAGACCTTTGGGACTTACACCATAGTTGGGAAGAACCTCTGTAGTGAAAAAGAAGAGATAAATCACCTTGTGACACAAAAGCTGTCCTATAACCGTAGCAGAGATAGTGTAAATGTTACCTCGTCAGGCAAGAGAGACACAGTGGTCTCTGATGAGGGCAGGATAAGGCAGAAGCTGGAAGTGGCACATAACCCACAGCTGATTGCAGGGCAGTTCTGGTCAATGCCTGTCTCCTGTTTTGAACAGACACCAGATGATCATGAGGCAGAGACGGGGATTAAGTCGAAGGAAGCAAGAAAGTATATTTTCAACTGTTTGGATGATATGGCACAGGTAAGAGCATTGGTGAGTAACCATCAGGACTGCTTCACATGCTTTCAGGCAACGCTAACAAAGGGGAACTACCTGATTTCTCTGTGTATCCTGTTCTTGTGCCAGCTCCTGAGAAATGCCAGAATTATGCCTACCAAATCAGCTTGTTATCTGCTGCTTTATATGGAAAACTGCACATAGGGGTATGTGGGCTCGGTGTGCTGTAGTAAAGCAGCCTTGGAAAATGGCTAAGTGGTATCTCTGACTGTCAAAGTCCTGTGTTTTCTCTTGTCTCTCCAGTGCTCCTCTGTGCAACCACTGGCAAGTCGCTTACTTCTGCTTTAATATTTCCATTTGTAAAACAGCGACGTTGGAAATAATCACCGTGGCTGCAGAAGAGCGTGCTCTCTGTAAAATGTGGCTATCTGGGGGAACGAGGAGTACTAATTCATTGTGTCAATTCTGTGTGGTTGTGAAAGTTAATTCCATCATAACCACTCCTGTGACTGGAGTTTGTGCTAGCAAACAAACTAGCCCGCAAAACTGGCACAACACTAGCACAGAACTGGAGTTAGCACTAGCAAAGTCTAGATGTTGTAGCATTCAAACATGCAGAAATGAAGGACTGTATAAATGGATGAAACAACATAAAGGTGTTTTTTTTTTCCTGGCACCTGATAGTGAATGGGATGTTTCCCATAAACCTACTGACAATTTTTATTTATTTTATATCTCTTTTTTGCTCACAGGACACATAGTTAAGAGTGTGATAACACAGTCCTTTATATGATAAATACACTGATTATGAGAGCTTGCCTGCTACCACATGGAAGCTGTTCATCTTCAGTGGAGGGTGACTAAGTGTTTCATTAGCCATTGACCCAAGCGAGCTGAACACTTAACGGTCTGTCTAGAGATCTGACGTGCACAAGCCAGATGACTAGCCACCGCGGAGTCTGCCGTGTGACTTCAGCAACTACCCCTTTAGACAGGGAGGCTTGCAGGGCATGTGCTCCAACCAGGAGTAAACACAGTTTGCTGGAGACCTGACCATCTGCTCCTTCCCTTTAGCACTCACCCTTCTCCTTTCTCCTTTAGGTGAACATGACAACAGATTTGGAAGGAAGTGATATGTTGGTGGAAAAGGCGGACCGGCGGGAGTTTATAGATCTGTTAAAGAAGATGTTGACGATAGATGCAGATAAGAGAATAACACCCATTGAAACTCTGAACCACCCCTTTGTCACCATGACGCATTTGCTTGATTTCCCTCACAGCACACAGTACGTGGCTTTCATTTCCCTTGGGTTTTGAACTGAGGGGTGAGGAGGAGAGCTGGTTGTGGTGGGGACCAAGTGTATCTGAGGGGCATTATTAAGATGCTTAAGCCCTAAGTTTTAGTCTTTTTCTGGTTAAAAAAAAAGAAGATTGCCAATTCTTAAGGTTGCAAGAATTGTGTTGTAGGTGCTTGGCATTTAAAACACTGCAGAGTGTGCTACATTCATTATGTAAATATTCAATAATTACGTATGTTTGCATTAAAATGCAGAAGAAATTATGTAATTAGTGCTGAAAGTATCAGTATATCTCAAAGTAATATAATCCCGATTGTTACTGCAGTAATCAACCTTATCTGCAGTGGGGAGCCGACCCTTCCTCCCAGAACCTTCCCATCTTGCAGGGGTCAGTTTGGGGCTGTTTGCTTTTTAAGGGAAGAGCTTTTCCCGCAGCAGGCTGGTTTACAGGCACAGGCAACAGGACAAGAGGTTCAGTTTTCAGCTTTGTTGTTGCCCGCCTCCATGACCTTAAACACCATGCTCTGACCTCAGCCGACACATTTGTGGAATGGAGATGGACTCCACTGCCCAATGGAAATGTGAAGAAGTGTGATGCCTTCAAGCGTGACTCCCCTTCTCCTAAGGCTGTGTCACGGAGCGCAGCAGCCTGAAACGCAGGAAACCTTCGCCCAGCACATTGTGCTTGTCCCCTGGGCGGTTCGCATAGGGCCAGGCTTCTCAGGTGCAAGTGAAGGCAGACATGTAGCGGGTTTTTTCCAAAGCCTTCAGGACACCGAACTTTGAACATCCTGCTCCACAACATTTTGCAGTTCAAGGTGCTTTTGCAGGCTGTCCATTCACCTTGTCAGGAGAACAGTTACTGGCACAGCACCGTACTTCATTGGGTGCCATGTGCATGGGTGTTTAAAGGCTGTGAGGAGCTCAGGTACAAAAATAAAGGGGACTGCTTAAAAATCCATAGAGTATGTTTGTGTGGGTGCTGCAGAGCAACGGGTTACTGTGTGTCACCTCTCCTGCCCATATGTGTGCCCTTACCTGTGCTATTTCAAGTTCACTTAAGGTAGTTTTCCCTCTGTGAAGAAGCTGTAGCTGCCTTTTTGTTACATTTATCACAAGATAAGAGCATCTGTTTACCAGAAGGTAGTGGGTGCACAATCTGTGGAGACCCAGACTTACCTTGCACAGACATCTTTGAGCATTGTTATCTATAAGAAGATAGTAAATGATAAATGTAATGAAAACAAGATGGGAGATTGTTGTGCTAAACAGAGAAAGCAAGTTTCATATAAAAACATTCATAAATAAAAAAAATACAGTATTTTCTAACAGTGTTAGCATCATATACAAAAGTCCTTTCATTTGCAACAGTCTTTACTGTGCAACAACTGATTGTGTAAGATAGGAGAGATTTGTGGCATAATGCGTTGCCATCAGAAATCTTTCCGCTAACACAGCAGACCATCATCGCATCCTCATTTTTTAAGTGCTCACTTGTGGCTGCTCAGGCAAAGCCCCAGAAAGGTTGAAAATATCGTTGGGGCCAATAGCAGTGAGAATTTTACCTGAATAAAAAATTCAGCATCGGATCTCTGAATACTGAATGCTGTGCCAGCCGGGCGCGTAACCCTGCGCAGCCCCTTCCTGTTGGAAGCGGTGATTGGTAAAGAGAGCAATAAGCTGTAACCAGCGTGGCAAGTTGATGGAAATTTTGTCTGTGATTGCCTGTGGTTTTGAGAATAGAAACTTCAAAGCCTCGAGAGATGCAGGGAGTTGTAATCTCTCTTGAAAGTAAATCAGGCAGCAGAGAAAGTGAGAATATATGGAAGATGTAGCTTCTGGAAGGAATCTCTGCTGTGGCATGCTTCAGAGAGGCTGCGAGTTTGAGCAGCCCGAGAGAGACTGTTCTGCTTACTTCCAAGCAAACAGCAAAGCAAGTTTAGCTCCCCATTTCATATATTTAACTGCCTGACTCTTAAGTTGTTGGGTAATCCTCAGTCTTTCTGTCCATTTTGCTCTGTCCCTGCCTTCTTTTTTTTTTTAAGTAAAGACGGAGAACATAGCATTACATTAGTAGAGATTGTACTGTGTTATATAAAACCATTTGGTAACACAGACAGTTTACCATGAACAGAATATATACTTTTTCCAGTGCTTTCTGCTTTTTGGAGGGAGACTATATTTGTAATTGACTGGAAAAATACAGTTCAATAGTCTTCTATATTTATTTGATAAGTGTTTGATTTTTCTGAATGTGCTGCGACTTACAGGTATTTCATAGTTCTTTAAATGAATGCACATAATGAGCAGCTATGCACAGTGTCCTGAGCCTGTCTTGTCTGCAGGTGTTTATGGCACAGATCCAGTTATCAAGATATAACCCGTAAGAGAAGACAGATGACCATGTGAGTAAGAGACAAGACAGGGATAAAAAGATGTAGGTCCTCTTCCTGACCAACCCTAGGGATCATATGAGCTTGTTCCTTTTGAAGGGACGTTTTGTTTCTTCAAAGTTATGTGAGGATGTGTTTACCTGCCCTACCTCTAACAGCTTAGATCGTTACAAAAGAAATTATGCATACAGCTGATTTTTTACAGCTACAGCTGATTTTCACTGCTTGGATTTTCTATTTTTCTGGGTTGGGATAACGGAAATAAAATAAATGCCTTTATAGTTTTTTGGGTTGTGTTTCAGACTCTGAAGTCACATTTGTAAAAACAATTATTATGGAAGAATTGTGGAAAACCTGTATTGGCTTTTAGACCTTGGAAAAATGAGATTTTATTAAAAATACAGTTTTGCGCAAGATCACTACGTTGTTCTCTCTTAAACCTCTGAAGGCTTTGAGATCCCAATTATAAAAATGAAACATTGGCAGTTTCATGTACCAGGCACCTAGAGTGCTCTAGCAATGCAGAGAGTATTTCATCTCCTTTACTGGGGATACAGAATATGGTACTTCTCAAAATTTCCATCACTATATCAACAACATTTAAAGGAAGGTCTGTGTAGAGGAAGAAGCTGTAATCTTCCCCCCCCCGAGATCCAGTTCTCAGTCTGAGATAACCTCAGAACCTGATTCCCTCGGGACGTTGATGAATCTGATTTGGCATAACCTTTTGCGATATGAATCGTCCTATTGACTACAAGAGGACAGCTCATGTGCTTTCAGATAAGCATCTGCGGAAGCGTTTAGCCAGACAGAGGCGATGCTTTAACCGCTTGGCTGGACTCAGCTCTTGGTGAACTAGTTTTTAAAAGGAACAAGTAAGATTTTTCAGGGATCTCGGTGACCAGGAATAGTAAAATTCTTCCTTGCAAAAGACCTGTAGAACTACCTTTAGGCTTACACTGAGGCAGAAAGCATGAGTTGTCTTTTCCTCTCAGGCCCAATCATCAGAAAAAACAATGTTTTTCTTTCTTCCTCTCAGTTTCTTTTGCACTCTTAAAATAGCGACTTTGTATTTCGTGCCCTGCCACCTGAAGACCAACAGATTTGCTTGCTATCTGTGACTTACATTGCAGTGCTGAGACACACAGGGACACCCAGGAGTCCCAGAGCAGCCGCCCTCATCTTGACACCCATTTGGCCCTCTTCAGTACAGGGTTAATCTGACTCTTAGTGGTTAAGAGAGACCTGCGTAAAATAGCAAAGGGCTTTAAGAGCCTAGAAAGTGCCAAGCCTGCCGTGGAGACCTAATGCAGGGCCACTGTGATGAACTGTTAACCTGTGTTGGTCGGGTGGTTGATTTTCTATCTCTTCCTTGTCCCCCCTTTACACAGTGTCAAGTCCTGCTTTCAGAACATGGAGATTTGCAAGCGGCGGGTGAATATGTATGACACAGTGAACCAGAGCAAGACGCCATTCATCACCCACGTAGCCCCAAGCACATCGACCAACTTGACCATGACTTTTAACAACCAGCTGAACACAGTCCATAACCAGGTAAGGGCATCGATCAGAAGCAGCCAGTGCTTGAAACGTTTATGTCAGTAGGGTCTAGAAGATGAAAAGCAAAGTAGCATCCCATTTAACATGCCTGCAAAAAGATGGTACTTTTTTACTGTCCTTCTTCCACTCTTCTTCATTCTCTTTTCTTCAGGCAAGCGGTAATCTTGTGACATTTTGTGCGACGGTGAAATGTTGCCCTCGTTGTTTATGTTGTTGTTGGGGGTGATAAATCCTGCTTAGTTGGGAAGTTGCTATGGGGAAAAGCTCATTAGTCCCTTAATGCAGCAAGCAGGACTGCGTTCCCTGGGTCAGGTAGAAGTATTTGTGATCTTACAACACTTCTTCAAATTGGCATTGAAGTCGAAAGAATTTAAACCCTTCTGCAACAGATGCAGAAGAGCAACCGATGAACAGAAAAGAAGAGTTTAGTGGTAATGTTTATTCTTATCTCTCATTGGGTTTACTCCAGGTGCCGCAGTTGACGTGGGAACCGTGTGCACGTACCCCCACTCCGAACAAGTTGCACTCTACATTGGTGGGCTCTGGCTCTGTAATCGTGCTTTGGAGTCTTGCATTAGTTTTACATGCCCCAGTGTTGGGGGACACTGGGTTTACAAATTTTGTGTGAGTAGCAGGCTAGTTGTTTACTGCAGTACTGTATTACAGCAGTGAAAGGAAACTCTCCAGGGACTGCACTCTAGGAGAGTGAAGCTCAAGAAATAGCTACTGTCTTTTAAGCCTTTTGGGAACAGGCTGCTGAAGATTCACTCTAGAGATTGCAGGTGGCGTTGCGGAAATGGTGCTTGGAAAAGCAAGGGAGCTAAAGGATTCTGTGTAAACGTACAGGGTGTTCTTTTGTCACTCAGAAAACCAGACTTCATGACTCAGTTCTTGATACATGTGATCACAGAAGGTCTTCTGGAGCAATTCATTAAGGAGACGCAGACAGAGATAGGTCATGGCTTGGTGTAATAGGGTATTAGGTACAAACACCGGTTCCCTTTCTTGGCTGTTTCTGAGATGCTGACTAAAGAAATGCGTGCTACATGCTCCCCGAGGCCCCAGCTGCAGGGCAGAGACGTCATTTGTACCACAGGCGCTAGTAGGAAATGCAGACTTGCTTTCGTTTCCTCACAACTCACTTGATGTTAAGATCGGTTGTTGGCTGGGGAGGTCCGTGGTAATCTCTGAATTCTCATAAGGGGTGTGCGTTGTGAGCAAAACCGATATCTCCAGTGTTTCTAGAAGTGGTAGAAACATTTCCAGGAAGGTTGTTTTAATTTGAACGAGCTCTAAACCTTTCACCGTTCTCTTCAACATACCACTCATCTTGGCTCGCTAGTGCTCCCTGTCTCGGCAAAATATCTGGAGATTGCCTCCTTCCAGTTACAACAACTGAGATTAGGAGTGTGGGAGCTGTCGCGGTTGCTGCTCGGTGTATTGCACAGGAGAACAGATTGCATTTCTCTGCCTCTGCACAGAGAGAGGAGGAGGAGGAAGAAATGTTTCAGTGTCGCATCCCTCGTGGCTGTGGTCGTATTGCACAGGAGAACAGATTGCATTTCTCTGCCTCTGCACAGAGAGAGGAGGAGGAGGAAGAAATGTTTCAGTGTCACATCCCTCGTGGCTGTGGCAGTGAAACATAGGTACCCTTACCAGGCCCGGTGGCAACCAGGGCAGCACAAAATGCTGAGCCTGCTGCCTCATGCAGCCTTGATCAATGCCTCGTCCTGGGTTCGTACGTTCACCATCAGAAATTGTGGTCTCACCTATCTCCAGCAGTGATGTCAGTGCGTTCGGATGGAGGGGAAAGGTGGACTCTGGTCTGGTAGAGCCTAGTTGTCTGGACATGAATGCTAAGGGCATGTTTTTATAGAGCAGTGGCAGAGCTGTTTAGGGGTTGTTTGTCTGCAACTGTTACAGACTCAGTCCAAATAAAAAACAAATCACCCTAAGATTTCTAGATGTTTTGCAGAACACTGGGCTGATTTTTGTGGCTTTGCAACATCCCCTGCTGGAGTGTCTGCTCTCAGAAATTTTAAAGTCCAGCCAAGGGAAGTTTGGACTTTGAAAGTATTACCTACTGTTATGCCTTCTGATTCCTTCAAATTCAAAACATAATTCAAGGGCCATGTGCCATCTTGGATAGCTAGTAGAGGAAAAGCTGGAATGAGTCTCCCCTCTCAGGATGAGGCTTCACAGGGCATGGAGGTGCTGAGTTTCTTTTACCTAAGAAATGTGAGCTTCTTCTAGAGCTATGTGCATGGTGAGAGAACAACGTGATTTGGGGATGGTAGTATTTTCTGAACCCATCGTCTGTATGCTGCGAATCAGAGCCAGTTGGGCAATAAATGGGGCTACAGTTCTGCTTTGGAAAACGCGCTATGTCTCCAAGCAGTACACAGCAGTACTGTGTGGCCAGAGGTCCCGTGGCATGGTACAGCTGTGGTTACTCAGGCAGATCGTGCTCCTTTCCCCATCACTGCCCTTGCCTCTGTGCTCCTCAGTGTCCTGTTCTACCCCCTTCTTTGGTTTCTGTTTGCTGGGTCTTTTTGGTTTGGTTTGTTGTTTTTTTTTTTTAATTTATCTTGCACTATTTTACTTTTTTATTTTATTTTTGGATTTTGCTTCTTCCAACGTACCCATCTCCCTCATTTTTGTTTGTTTTTGTTTAATTCCCATCATTCCTTTAGACCACCAACCTGGCTCCCACCTCCTCCAGTGCCACTATTTCCTTAGCCAACCCCGAGGTCTCCATACTAAATTACCAATCTGCACTCTACCAGCCCTCAGCGGCATCCATGGCTGCGGTGGCCCAGCGGAGCATGCCCTTGCAGACTGGAACAGCGCAGATCTGTGCCCGGCCCGACCCCTTCCAGCAAGCTCTCATCGTCTGCCCACCAGGCTTCCAAGGTAAGTAACAGCCTTGCCAGGTCTTGACCGGTCGCTGCTCCCTCCCCACTGCTGCTTCATTTAGGTCTTGTTGGAAACAAGCTTCCATAGTGCAGATCACACAGTAGACAAATTGCTGGTCTAGTAAATCAGAACAACGAGGTTGTTGCAGATGGAAATGTTTGCAACAACGGAGGATCTTGCAGGCACCTCATGAGATGCATGCACATCATGAGTTGGAGGTGGCTGGTCTAAAACAACGCGGCAGGCACTGAGAAGGGGTTGGGGGATAATATGTGGTATTTTTTATCCTTTGCCCTGAACAGAGTTTGAGGCTCTTCTACCTCACTTTGGTAAACTAGAAAACTTTCCACCACAACAACAATAAATCAGTACATAAATAACGGGTTCATCACTTCTCAGTGATTCAGTTGTTAAAAAGGGGACTCAGGAGGATAATGCAGCAGGGAGTGTGGTGCTGGTGGAGATGAGAGTTTGGCCCCATAACAGATACTCATGACCATTTATCAGTACCATTCCTTCAGCTCCAGCCCTGCCGCAAACAGCTCTGCCTGTGTATTCCAGTGGCAGGTACCATTGTCAGACAACTTGGGTGATGATCAGATTTATCCACTTGTCCTTCTCTTGACTTTACATGCTGTAGCCATTTGGAAAAACTAGCCAGGTGTCTGTAGGAAGTGGTCTAAATAGATCTTGGTTTGGCTGGTGCAACTTCTGCTTTTCATTTCTACAAGTCTGTCTGTGGACCAGTCTCTAGGCTCTTGTTAAATGTTCTGCAAGATTATCAAAGCGCTTTTGAACTAGGGGAGTTCAGCTAGACCTCTTCTGCATAGTTAACACGCATCTCAAGGGGTTTACTTCAGAAATGTATTGCTGGAATATATAAGCTAACATTTTCTGCTTGCTGTGTTAAGAAAGGCTAAAGCAGGGGATGTAGCATAGGCTGTGTCACACCTTAAGGTGGTCGAGAGGGAAGTTCCCTCCAGCTCAGTTAGGCTGATGCGTGGCTGAGTCAGCAATGGTTCGAGTTTGGGGTGTACTAGATTACACAGTCAAAACAGCATCTTTTAAATATGAGTCCTGAGAAACTGTGCAAGAGAAAATCACCTGTTCCCATCAAGGCTGAGTGAGTGCACAGTTCTGGATTCCCATCCCACTGTCCCACTGGGGTTATGAGAGAGCATTCTCACATAGCAATGTTTTTTGGCTGGCAAGGACCATTTTCTGTTGTGAAACCACAGAACGTGGCGGAAGAGAAGCCATTCGCTCCCCTCTCTTCCTTTTCTCCCTGTACACATTGTATTGAGATGTTTTCCACGGATTCGAGGTACCCTAAAAATATGAACTCAGTTAATCCCATAACATCTTTATCAATGCCTTTTCTGCACCCTTATGCATGTATCATGTTTATCAACATTTGATGGACATCTTTGGGCTGGGGTGGAATATGTGGGACTCTCGAGAGCCAGATTTTTTGGAGGGACTGAACACTGCAATTTAAGTGGACGATAACAAGTGCCCTTAGGCACCTCTGAAAACCAGAGTCCTGTTCCTAGCAATGCTGTTGATGGCTAATGCTGTACCTTCTGTGCTGGTGCAACAGGGTTACAAGCTTCCCCTTCGAAGCATGCTGGGTATTCAGTTCGGATGGAGAACGCCGTTCCCATTGTCACTCAGGCTCCTGGGGCTCAGCCTCTTCAGATCCAGCCAGGACTCCTCGCACAGGTAAGGAGCTCTGAAGACACTGAACGCGGCAGGTATTTTTTGTATTGTTTAGCTCTTTGAGGCTCAGGAGAGTAGCTTTCTCTGAGAGCCTTCTGTGGTGCAGTTTGGAGACTCGGGCAGCCATATAAGGCTCTCTAGCTTTCTCCGAAGTGTCCAAACCTCCCCCAGTTCATTGTTCACCTCAAAGGCTATGTCAGAGTTGCAAAAGTCTCTGGAGGGACCTTCTTTCCTTCTGCTTCTCCACTGGAATCAGTGGGAAGCTTCAGGGAAAGCTGTGTCAGACCTCTGCTGAGGAGAAACTAGTAATAACCTTCCTGTATCCTCCGGAACTCACAGCTTCAGTGGTAGTTTGTGGCCAGGAGTTGTGCTGGTGAATTGCATGCTGCCGATAAATATCTTTTATGCTTTAAGTTTGCACCCTTCTGTTTTATGAGCTACCCTCTGCTCTTAAGTTATGAGAGAGATGTAGGGGGCAGAGGCAAGGGCCCCACGGCCAAGGAGCTCTCCTTGTCAGTAGTACTTGTTGGCACAATTGTCTGAAATGCGCTCACAGGAAAAGCATGGTTCCTCCCAGAAAAACCCGAACGGGAACGGGTACCACCGATAATGTGCACATCCTCAAGGGGAACTCCAGCTCCTCAAAAAAGGAGGAGCAGTTCATTCCTCCTTGTGCTGGCTTCGGTGAATCTGCCCCTACTGGTTTTCAGCTGGTGCTGTGGTATCTCTGCCAATATCAGGCATGTTTCTGGCAGAAAAAATAAAAGCGCCTAGTATACTTAGTATTAAGTTGTGCAGTCTGGAAAAGGGGACCTACAAGTCAAAAATCCATGCCTCTGACTCAAGATTGGTTGATCTACCATACCTTCATTAACGCCAGCGCATTCATGCGCAGTCAGGTACCAGCAGACCTCAGGGTTTTATGCCTGTGCGTTGCATTGCTGGGGTAAGACCGTTGGTGCAATTGCCTTTCTTTGCCAGCCGCCAACCACGCTTGTCTGGTGAAGGCAGATCGAAACGCAACTTGCAGCCTGTGTGATTTCATTTAGCTACCATGCCCTGCCCCTTCCCAATAGCAGAGTCTTTGTTAGAGGGCTGTCTGAAACATCCAACTTACTTCTGTTGCAGCCTGTCATAACAACCTACGTGGCCACCACTCTTGTTTGGTAGGAAAGGAGAGCCTGAGAGGCAGGGAAACCAAAAATAATGGCAAAGCAAGAAGCAGTCTGTGCAGGCACCATTGCAGGCAGCTAGTGTTTGTGCAAGAAGTCAGCCAAGGCAGTGGGTGAAGTGACAGAGCTTTGCGAGCCCCTGCCCTTCTGCCAGGCCTCCTGAGATGTGCTTTTACATGGGGCTTGAAGGGATGAGGGTCGGGTCTGAAACATCCCAAAGGCAGCAGGATCCTGAAAGATTTTGGGACCTCCAGCTCCTTCTTTTTTCTCGAGGTGGCCTTGCTGGGGTCACCACACAGTCTCTGTAGGAGAGAGGGAGTGTTCAGAAGGAGCTTTGTTACCAATTTCTGTGCCGCCCCTGCTACATGAACTCCCATTTCATGGGCTGCCCTTCTTGTACTTTCAACTAACATTTTATTCACTGTCGCTTCCACAAGGCAATTTAAGCTGTTTCTGAGAAACACTCCTCACTTGCATAGGTTTCTAATTTTTGATTTAATAAAAGAGAGGCAGTCTGCCTGTTGATATATCTGTCTGTCTCACGCAATGAGAAATGCTAGCTGCCTCTCTGCCTCTCAAGGCGCTCTGATTGATGCCGGTGGCATCTGGTGTCCGCGGGCCTCGCTCGGTTCGGGCTGAGCAGCTGGTCTGATAAACAAATCTGTACCCAATTCCAGTTTCCTGAATGGAAAAACACAGCTTCTTTGTAATGCATTGTAGTCACATCTGATCTCTGAGCGGCTGCATGTCCCTCTCTCAGCAGAGAGCTATTCCTCTCATGCACAGCTGCTTATCTAATGCTCTTCAGACCGGACCACGCGATTGCTCCAACTGCTAGAGGGACTGTCCCCGGCAGAAAGCATAGCGCCTCCAGAGCCCACTTCTGTCTTTCCACTTGCCTTATTCGTCCCCCTGATCAGGCACGATGCTGCTCCTTGTGCTTCCACCACTGTGTAGTACCAATGGGCTTTCTCCCCTGCCCAGCACATGGCGCAGGTCGCTGTGCTTGCCCGCGTAAGGATGGCTGTGGCTGGCAAAGCCTTACTACATCCCAGTGCAGCCGGCGTCCGGGTCTCCCTGTACATTTTGTATGAGACCAGCAGTCCCGGAGGAGGGGAGGGAGCTCCAGGAGCTGGGGGGACCCAGGGCAGAGGCGGTGACAGATTTTGAGCATCATCTCTGGCTGCTGTGTGTCCACAGCCTGTGGGGTAGAGCTAGACAGAGCAAGCAGCCTGCAAGATGCAGAGCCAGTGGTGCAAGTAACTTACTTGTAACTTCTCTGGGTCTATTTTCTCCCTCTTAAGCAAGTGTGGTTCACGTACTTTATGCGCAGAGACCAGTGAAAGGCGCCTGATCCTGTCTTTACGAATAGCTCTTTGCAGCTTCAGATCTCGAAAGAGACAAAGCTGTACAGTTTTCTGGCAGGCTTCCATGACGTGACCCAGAACTGTCCCCTGTCCTTGAATAACGCCCTGAATTCTTGATTTTCTCTCCTTTTAACTCCTTCCCAACAACACTTCTTCCCACGGAGGTCCTGCCACCGGCTTTCAGAACAAACACGCTTATTCCATTAGTCATTCTTGCTCTACATCCGAAGCGGGAGCTCTGTCACACTGGGGGACCCGCCACCTCCCGAGCGCAGGGGCCAGCGCGGCGCTCCGCCGCGGCGGCACAATTTCGCAGTAATGCAATAACTGAGAAGAGGCTGCGGCTGCCAGCACAAGCCTCCCATGTGGAAGCACAGCACACTGTGCTAGTGGATCAGCCTAGACAAGTCTTATCTGCAGATTAAATGATTCAGTGGTCCTTACCTAATAAGTGAGGAATTTGTGCCTGGACCCTGACACTGCATCTAAATTTATGCACTGCAGTCGGGAAAGGAGCTTAGATTTCTTCAGTTCTCTTCCTGAAAAGGGAGGAAGCAGATTTCTGTGCAAGTAAATCCAGGTAGTCCCCTGGGAATGACTGCAACAATAGTTTAGTCTCCTCTTTTAAATCAACGCTGGGAAAAAAAAGTTTAAAAAAAAAGCTTTTTTCCTCCCTGATCTTTTTGCATCTCTGCCTCTTTCTCCTACCTGCTCCAAGCAGCTCCATGGTTGTAGCTCCTTAGATGAAGAGCTCTCAGGAGCCCTGCGACTGTCCATCCTTTGCAGATGTTGCTGAGAGGCCTCACCACAGCAGCCTTTTCATCTAACTCAGCAACACAGAAAATTACAAGACAGCCAAATTTTGGAGCAGAACTGGGAAAAGGGTGGGGGGTTTGGGGGGAGTGGTGTGGTGGGGTATTTTTTTTTTACTGGGGGATAGGAGGGGATTATGGGAATAGTTAACAGGATTCTTGTGAGAATAGAGATGGGGACAAATGCAGGCCTGGAAGAAAGAAGCCTCTCCTCTTTGAAATTTAACCTCCTTAGAGCCATGAGATAACATAACATGGGTCCAATATAGAGGTGCCGTGTGGGACTAAGGAGGGCTGTAGCCACTACTCCAGTGTTCTCCAGCCCAGGCCATGAGAAGCTGCCGGAGCTGCCTTCAGGCAGCACATAGCAAAGAAAGTTTCCCAAGTCAGAAAACCAATTGCCTGACTCGTAGTGTGGAGTCACTGGAGCAGGACGACCTGAGTCATGCCTGTGGCAGCGCAGCTGGAGGGGTGGTTGCATAGCAGAGCAATGGCTCAACTCACAGGGCAGAGATTTCCACCCGTGCGAGGGGGGGACCCACTCAGAAAAAGCCGTAGAGCACAGGAAGAGGAGAGGCATGCAATCTGTTGCTATGCACGGCTCCGCTCTGCTTTGGCCAGGGAGCTCCTGGTCAGCTGGAAGCAGGCTGCTGGGCTCCTTGGCCTGTGCAGCAAGATGTTCCTCCTGAAGAGCACTCAGTGACCATACTCACTCCCTTTTGGTATCCCCAAATTCCTCCTTTTTTTCCTCCTTGCAAAAGCCTTGCGGCCCCCTGTTCTCTTTCCTGATCCTTGGAAATTTAGTTCTCCTTTAAGTTCCTTTAAGTTCCTGAAGTCCTTTAGGTCCTGTTGGGGTGGGAAGGAAAATTTGCTGTAGGAGGGGGAAAATAACAACGGGACCATAGAGCCCAACTGATCTGAAGAGTCAAAATTAAAAGGTGCTAAAGAGTTTGATGTTTGGGTTGAAATGCCAATCAGTTTCAATCCCTCCCATTCCCAGTTTAACCTGGAACTGCTGCTGCTTTGCATGGCAGGGATTTTTCCCCCCCGTTCCTTTGCACTCTCTGTATTGATGACTTTTACTGCTTTTACTGTGGTTTCCTAAAAGTATTTGTCATCTACTACTGATAAGCGGTAAGAGCTAGGTAGCATGACCGTGATCATTATTAGGAGCCCCAGCTGAGCATGGGCCACCGCCACACTCGGTGTCTGGTGCTTCTTGTTTAAGAAATCGCTCTCCCTCTGTCCGACAGCAAGCGTGGCCCAGTGGCACTCAGCAGATCCTGCTCCCTCCTGCCTGGCAGCAGCTGACCGGGGTGGCCACCCACACTTCTGTCCAGCACGCGACCGTCATCCCGGAGTCCATGGCGGGAACCCAACCGTTGGCAGACTGGAGGTAAACTGGAGGCGCTGGGAGGCTCCCTGAAGTACTCACCAGTGCTGGAGGAGGCGTGAGAAGAGCCGGGGCGGGAGGCAGGGATGGGGTCTTGCAAGGCTGCGGACCGGGAGTATAAGGCCAGGAGGCTGCAGCCTGCGACCGCCCTGCCTGAGAGCTGCGGGCGGCTTCGCAGTTCCCTGTCCTTGAATTGGAGTGCCGTGCCCACGGGTTTCCACTCCTTTCTGGGGGGACTGGGAGCCCAAGGGGCCCCGGAGGAGGGTGCCCCGGTGAGGGCGGTGGGGCCCCGTGAAACCGCCCGCTGAGGAGCCGCCGGTTGCATTTTAAACGTGTGCCTGTCTCCCCCCTTTGCAGAAACACCCACGCTCACGGCAGCCATTATAACCCCATCATGCAGCAGCCCGCGCTGTTAGCTAGCCATGTGACTCTCCCCGCAGCCCAGCCCGTCAACGTGGGTGTCGCTCACGTCATGCGCCAGCCGCCCGCCGCCGCCACCTCCGCCAGGAAGAGTAAGCAGCACCAGTCGGCGCCCCGGTGAGTGTGCAGGGCTGCCGGCGCCGGCGCTGGTCGTGGGGTCGGTGAGGCCATACTGGGGTCGTCCTGAATGCAAGCCCTGCGGTGCAAGCGTGCTGGAGAGGGTGGTAGTGGCTGACACCCGTGGGGCAAAAAAAAAAGTTTGTTCCGCAGCCCACAAGTGATGAGATCACGTTTTTTTGTGGCTAGGCTCTTTGCTGCTTCACCCCTTCCATACCCTGGTCAGGAGACCAGGGACTAAGAGGTAGTCAGGCACATTTTATATCCAGTAAGCATCATTTTATGCAGGACTTGGTGGCTGGAGGGGATGCAGGATGGGAGACTCGGGCCCTGTTCATACAGCTCGTTATGCCCTTGTGATTACCTGAGGCCTTGTAGTCATCGTAATTAAAAATGTGATTGTATTAGGTCAGTGTGGCGCAATGCCCGGTCGCCACACCTTTTCTTCCCACATCGTCTCGAAGAAGTGCTCCTGAGGTGCAGTGTCTGCACTTCCCCAGGGTGGTGTACCTCCAGGTCCAGGGGACCGCATCTTCAGGAGCACGTGCCACAAGATCTGCCCTTTCAAAAGCAATAGAATTATGACCTACACCTTCTGAACTTTAATGCCATGCAGAGTGGAGAACTGGGGTGGCTTTAGGGCATCTGCAAGCTCTCTAGCCCCTAACATAGGTTATTGGCCTGTCTTCAGCAGTACAGACCAGCAACAGATAGCCACACTGGCCTTTCTATAATTATGACAGCGTAAAATAGGGAGCACTTTGTAAGGATATCTCATAGAGGGTGTCCTTAGATACCTAAATCTGTCAACTCTCAGTAGGACCATTTGGCTCTGCAAGGAGGAGACTGGGTTTTGGTTCATACTGTGCTATGTGGTGCAACTCGAACGATAGGGTGATGGCAGTGCCTGTCACAGCCCTGTGATCTTGCCTAGAGGACAAGGCTGTTTAAGATGTATATGCAGCTGTTCTGGGGAAAGTCCTCTGGGCTGCAAAACTCGGACATTTCTTTAAAAAAAAAAAAAAAACCAAAAAAAAACAGTGCAGGGGGAAGAACCAAAATGGGTCACCACTTGTGCAGTGGCAAAAACAGAGCAGCTTGTGGTTTTCCTGGGTGACTGGACTGGGGCCAGAGGAGCTCCGAGTTCACAACCAATTTGACTCTAGTTAAGAGGCCACTATTTAAGTCCTTCCCATTTATCTGCTCTCTAATGTTGCATTTACTTTGGGTGGGCTCCAGCTGTCTTAGTCCATTCGTAATGTAGAGCAGAGGCAGCTCCGTCCCCAGCAAGCCAGCAAAAGAGAGAGCCTTTTGCAACCAGTGTCACCAGTGTCCCTGTGCAGGGCCTCCCCTCTCCCTTCCCTCTCCAGGGGCAGGGGGGCAGTGTCCAGGAGGAATCGGACACTTTCAGAGCAACGGGTTTCTACGGCTTCATTAATTGTGATGCTTTTGTAGCCAAATGAGGAACGTGCTCCTCTGGAGAGGAGGGTACTCCACGCTGCTCATTGGTATTCAAAAAGCACTGCAAATGCTACTGTGCAGCCATTTGTTATGCAAAAGAGCCTGTGTAAGTTGATATAGTGCGATACGTCCATAATGACTTCCTTTTGATGGATGCCACTTATTCCTTTTGTTAGCTTTCGGGCCAAGCTGAACATGCAGCCTAGGCCCCACTGTAGAACAAAACCAGAACTTTGTTTGCTTCCTTTTCGAGTCTGTGAATGTTCTGCAATAGGCAGAAGAAACAAATGTTTAAACAAAAAAAAAAAACCCAAAACAAAAAAAAAAAAACGGGAAGAAAGAAAATGTGGGAAATGAGTGAAATGGGCTTTAGTCAGTGTGCTTCAGTAAATATTCCCATCTGCAGACCTGTGCTGCACTGTTTGGTGGACAGGTTCTGTGTTCAGATCCCTGATCCAAGTGGGCCCTTTCCAACTGTCAGGTAGGGAAGCTGAAGTAGGAAGACTGGGGAAAAAAACAAGACTTGAGAATGTTTTTCTACTGTGTAATACAAAGGTTGTTCTTTTCTTTCTGATTTATGTATGTTGTATCTGCTGCCTCATGTGGGAATGAAATGAAACTGAGTATATGTCCTCCCATCTGCGTGCTCTCGTCCATGGGACTCCACTATCCTAGAGGATGAAGCATGGGGCAGGAAATGTTCGTTGAAATGGTTCTTAAACAGAAAATGAAATTTTCAGCTAGGAAAAGCAGTTTTCCTGATAAATTATTGTTGGTTTCCATAACAAATTCTAATTTTACCCCTAGCTTTTTCTGGCCAAAAAATATCTGGTCATGATGCATCCATGCGTGATACAGGAGAAAGGGATTATCATTTGGGTTCTTCTTCCTTCTGCGAGAGCCATACTGTGCCTGCCTGTGTTTTGTATGACTGGGCTGTGTGACTAGCCTCTGCCTCCCAGCGCACACTCCTGGGACACAGCATTTCTCATTTGGAAATTTCAAGGGAAAACAAAATTGAATTTTTTACTAAAAGAAGCTACTTTTCAGCCAGTTATATGAATAAGTCATGTGAGGCACTCTGTCCTTTGAAGAGGTGACTATGCCAATTATGCAGTTTTCCTAGACTCCATAAATCAGTGCCACTGAATCAGAGACCAGGAATCAAAAGCCATGGTGACGGGCAACTTAAGCAAACTTGAGTTTTAACCAACTAACAAGCTTTCCCATTTCCAGAAATGCATCCACCTATGAAGTTTCATCCTCTCAATCCATCAGCTCGCCTCAGCGGTCGAAACGAGTGAAGGAAAACACGCCTCCCCGCTGTGCCATGGTGCACAACAGCCCTGCCTGCAGCACCTCCGTCACGTGCGGCTGGGGCGATGTGGCAACCAGCACCACGAGGGAGCGGCAGCGGCAGACGATAATCATTCCCGACACCCCTAGCCCCGCCGTGAGTGTCATCACTATCAGCAGCGACACAGATGAAGAGGAGGAGCAGAAACATGCACCCACCAGGTGAGCAGCGGCTCTCTGCTCTCTGTGTGCAGGAGAGAGAGGCAGAGAAGCGCTGGAGCATCCCAGGAGTTGCTGTAGGGTCCAAGGAGCTACAGTTGTGTCTCAGCACCTGGGTCATCTGTCATTTGAGAGGAAAGATGATGGAGAGGCTAAAATACTAGCTGAGGACTCCGCAGACTTAGGTGATGTTCCCTATCATGCTGTACATCTTCTGTGTGACCTTGGAGAAGCGTAGTAGCCCCTCTATGCCATAGTCTTTCATCTGTTAGAGGAAATAATAGTTTTGTCTATCTCACAGAACCGTTGAAAGGAAACTTTATAGAGATCCTATGGTGATGAGCCTCTTTAAGTCAGATAGCTGTTTAAAACAAAGACAAAATAAGGGCTTGGAAGGAAGGTAGCTTAAAATTCCCTTTTCTCTAAGTGATCCAGGCATCTGTAAAGAGCATTAAATGACACCTTCCATATGTGCTATTTTCCGTGAAAAGGTCCTGAAAAACAATTAGGGGTTGTTTCATAAACACTCAATAATGGTAAACACATTGCAAGAGGTTTGCTCGGTTCTGATTGTGTTGCCAACACGTCCCTGAACTATTGTCTTAAGTGGCAGAAACTGAGGTCTTTTTGACTGACTCTGCAGAGAGGCATAGATGAGGCTGTAAAGACCATGGTGACTGAGTTTGCTCCTCAGAGAATTAACTCACCTGAGTGAACAGTGCGGCCCAGAACTGCTGCCACTGCTGATCATCTGCTGTGGATGAGAGAGGACTTAATTTTCCAGGACTGTCTTTTCAGCACCTTTCATCACATGCAAGCACTCTAGGTTTCCCATCTGATGCCGGTCACAAGACATCACTCTGCTTTTTAAGTTGTAGAGAAGTAGCCTTGCAAACAGCTGAATAATTATACCGTCCTTATGTTGGTAACTGAGCTAGGAATTTTTTAACCTTATTCTTCCAGTATTGTTGAGAGAGAATTAATTTTTTTATTTATTTAGGACATGCTCCATGGCAGATTTTCCTTTAATCACTGGAGATACCTATCTATATCTCTGCATCTCTGCACTGTGGTGATAAGTAGAGCACTGCAAATGTGCACAGAACAGATGAGATGCATTTGGCCTCAAGGAGCTAAAAATCTGTAAAGAAGAGCCACACGATTCAGGCACCTTGGGCCGCAATCTCAGCCTGCCTCCTGCCAGCCGCCGCCACTTCCCATTCCCCTTCTCCCTACCAGTGAACTCCACCAGGCAGCGAGAGCTCAGTGGTCCTCACATGCAGGCTTGCCGTGAATGCAATGATTATCATGGGGAATTGATCACAGGACAGCATAACGTAGAATCATAGAATGGTTTAGGTTGGAAGGAACCTTAAAGATCACCTAGTTCCAACCCCCCTGCCATGGGCAGAGACACCTTCCACTAGACCAGGTTGCTCAAAGCCCCATCCAGCCTGGCCTTGAACACTTCCAGGGATGGGGCATCCACAACTTCTCTGGGCAATCTGTTCCAGTGTCTCACCACCCTCATAGTGAAAAATTTCTTCCTAATATCTATTCTAAACCTACCCTCTTCCAGTTTGAAACTATTACCCCTCATCCTATCACTACATGACCTTGTAAAAAGTCCCTCTCCAGCTATTTCACTTTTTAAAAAACAGAAATATAGCTACAGTATTCCCTAGTTTAGTAGGGAGAACACAGCTTGTTTCCAGAAAGAGTTGAAGGTCAGGTGGACTATACATAAGGAGCTCCTACTTCCAGGGCCCTTCCAGGGAAAGGAAGGGCAAGACAAAAGAGATGCTAAAAACTAAGGTTGTCAGGTTGGGCAGCGTGAAGAGGATGGGTATCTCAAGCATCATGGGAGCTATTTGTAAGCATGTTTATGCATGGTGCTGATCCCAGGCTTTGGGAAATTATGTGCAAATACTTATACTTACCACCTGGGTATCATCTTGGGTCCAGAGCGGGGTGGAGCAAGAGCTGGGATCCTGCAGCCACTTCAGCTAATGGTTGTCTCCTCTGCTTCAACTTTGCTGCCATCTGACCAGTTTCTTCACTTGGCATGTCTCCAGGGGAACAGCCAGAACAAAATTCTGGAAAATGTCTGGAAATCGAGTTGGGAGTTTGGGGTATTTAACTATTCGGGCAAGGTCTGCCGAGGGGTTAGGAAAGTAGTCCCAGGAGCCAGACTTACATAAACAAACTGGCTTTGATATGACTAAAGTATATTCAGGACACGTTCCTGCCTGGGATGAGATCCCTGGCTACTTTTTGTATCCATATGGCATATCTATACAGAGTGCCAGGGCGACAGCATTCCTGGAAGGCCAAAGCTTAAGAGCTAGATTTAATTTCTGAGCCATGTAGAGACATTTCACATGGACACGGGCTGTTCTCGGGCACCTTTTCGAATTCCAGAGTGAGTTAAATTGCCTGTGCAGATGTAACCAGAGCAAGTGGAGAATTAGGGGCAGAGACACAGATGGAAAACAGCATGTCTAGAATGAGAATTTTTGGTTAAAGTCTCCAGGAGAGTGAAATCAACTCACTCAGTGCCTTTTGACCTGGGCATATCTAAGACCAAATTCTCAGCTGGAGTAAGAATGTAGCCTCCAAGTTTTCTTACTTTTCCATTTTTTTGGCTCCAAGAAAAATGGGAGTGACAGTGAAGTATGTGTTTTAATGTAATCAGTGCCCATAAGTTCAGGATCTGAGTCAACAATGAAACTGTGCAAAGAACGCATTGTCTTGCCCATGTTTATGCAAATATTACCCTATTGGGCAATAGCTGTGCTGTGGGGGTGAAAAATAAGGAGTGACTTGAAACATGCTCTTGGTCACATCCTAACAATATTAGCTTTTTCTTCATTAGAATAAGGAAATCATATGGCACTTGACAGATCAGAGTTAATTGCCTGATACCATCTTATTGATAGCAGTGGTATCTTTGCATTAACTTCACAGACTGTGGATCAACTCCTGAATTTGCTACAGCACTTCCTTCTCTTATTTCCTCCGGGGTTAGAAATTTCTCTTTGACCCATGAGACTAAAAATGTTTATTTTATTGGTTGCTCAGCGAAGAGAGATTAGGGCTACCTGTGGTTGTGAGAAGTAGCAGATCCTTCGACGATGTAAGAGTTCGTAAGTCTCAGTTTAAAAACGGCTGATAATGCTGATAAAATATGATACTGCTGATGCAGTAAAGGAGCCCTACAGCTCAGATTTACTCCGACAGAAAAGCCTTTGTGCAATACCAGAGCAGCAGAGAGCGCTTTTCTCATACAGGGGATGCAAATTTTTTATTGGTGAAAGAAGAATCTGAAGAATTCAGTGTGATATGTGCAGAATTTTCCTTTTCCTAATGAAAAGCACAGATGTTCAAATAGGATGTTTATGAAATACCAGCTGACCGGGCAGGCAGACCAGCACGTTCCTCGTTCTTTGCTCACATGTGTTATGCACTGTTGATGAGTGTAGCTTGGTGTAATCTTTTCAAAATCAATAGTCATCGGAAAATGTTGGGCTCCTGTTAGGTAAAGGTGCTGGAGAGGTGGTGTGAGGTGGGCTATGGAGGATCTGCTCGATGGAGCCTTGTCAAAGGGGGCCATCTACTGGGCCCCAGCCCCGAGCCTGAGGTGAAATCACAAAGGAGGGACCTCAG